CACAAATTTCAATGTTAATGTTTTTCTTATAGTTTCCGAATAACATAAATTTTGTTTTATTTAAATTTAAAGACAATTTGTTTCTATCAAACCACTTCTTTAATATCTTTAACTCCTGTGTGATCACCTCCACAACCTGTTGAAATTCCGCACCTGAACAAAGTATATTGGTATCACCGCAAAAATTACTAACTTTAGTATCTTCAATACTTTACAAATATCATTTATATACATAATAAACATTTTCGGACCCAATACGGATCCTTGAGGTACTCCACATTCAATATCCATCAATTTAGATTTAAACTCATTTATTTGTACATATTGCTGTCGATTCATTGAGCCTGGCTGTGGCCTGCTGGCTGATGGTGGAGCCTGGCTGTGGCCTGCTGGCTTTGGGTGTTCTGAATCTGTTCCTAACAGATCGCTACGCATCGATCGACTGTACACATATCCAACTTCTTTAAACATGCCATCAGGTTGATATATGCATCGGAGGAACTCAGAATTCAGTATCTTGCCCAAGGATCCTTTCTCATGTGTAGCGAGTAAAAGCCACCGAGTAACCGCTAAGGTCCTCTATACTACTTGTGCAAACTTTCAGGCCCAAAGCTCTTACAGGAACGAGCCCAGAATAAACGGGACAAGAGGGTCAATATCAGTCAGATATGTTAAAATTGATTATTTTAAAAGAAAACAAAAAGGTTTGCAAAAGGCCTAAAACATCAAAATGGAAAAGGTCACTAACGACCACAAGATAGTCTTATTGGTGCAACCTGCCAGCAATGCAACTATCACCTGAGGGCTTGCTCTCCCTCGGCGGTCCCAGATGCTCGTTGCTTTAAAAGAAACAAATCCACCCCAAATAAATACGAGCCCAACAGAACACTTATCGTATGCACTAAGTGTTTTAGTTCAGGCAATAATCGGTGGCATTAAAATCACTCTTAATAAAACTTATTCACTGCAAATCCACACAGAGCACCTCTAAAAGACCCAATTCCCCTAAGGTAAAACAATGGCTGAGCGTAATTGGAGTCATGTGCGGACGTATTTTACCTCCACAAACAGCTGAGACGTGGTTTGCAATACATGTGGCAAAAAAGTGAGGTGTTGTGGCCATACTTGCCAACCTTGAGACCTCAGAATTAGGGAGACATTCAAAAGGGTTGTTGGGGGGGATAAATACCTTTTACAGGGTTTATTTATTGGGTAAAATACGTTAAATCTCACCGTTATTATTGGCCGGCCTGCAAACAGCGGGGGTGTCCAAATTCAGAGGCTGCTTCCACCTGAGGACCCGGCCTTCGCGGTCTAAAGAAAGCCGGGTAGTACGTCACGAGCTCCCTCGGTGGAGTGAAACTCTGC